TAACCCTACAGGCAGTTACGATAAAGCAGTACCATACATTTAGTACTGGCTTTAGGGGCACTATAGAATGGCCATTTAGGGCATTAAACAGAAAGGGGCGCCATTCTGCGAATTACAATCTCACGTATCCCTGTTAAAGTGACATAGTAAACACAGGGGATCGCTAGTAATCTGTCCCAGAGCTAATAGCATTACAACTGGCACTGCATATATTATTAAAAAACACTCAAAAATTATTACCATCCTGTGTGTTGATACAAAGATTTTTAAAATAATTTAAATTTAATATACTTACTTTCACAGTACCAGTTATAGAGATGGCTAAAACAACATCATCCTTTCTTGAAGAAGGTCGTAATACCTATAACATTAAAAAACATAGTCATTTATGTGTTACTTTAATACACTTTTAGTATATTTTTAATTTAACTATAATTTACTCACATGTAACGCTGAGATCCAATCCGGATTCATCTTGGAACTCAAACAAAATAATATCTCTAAAGAAAATGGATCCATAATAAGAATCTCCGCATAGTATCCATTGCAGAAGAGACGTAAATCTTCACTATTGCACATGTGGTAAGCCTGTAAAAAGTTAAATATTTGGTAATAAATCCATAATACTTTGCATAAATTTTGATTGTTACTGTAGAATTTAACTGCCAAATACTTATCAGACAATGAAAGGGATAATATGTAATTTATATAAATAACTAGCTGTCGCCTGTGATTAAAAATAGATGTTGGCCGATTCTCAGACCTACTCAATATGCTCACAAATTTTCATGAGAATCGGTCAAGCGGTTTCGGAGGAGTATGGGAACGAAAATTGTCACATGAGAATTTTGAATATAAGATAAAAATTAGGTGCCTGTATGTAATATCAATAAACTATTGTTTTGCCTACAATGAAAGACAAGTTTTTAAATATTTTCTCAAGGGATCTCCGAAACAGTTGGACAGATTTCAACGGGCCTTTCACTGGAGGGTAGCTAATGTGAGCGAGCAATTGTGAGTAATATTTTTTTAATTGCAATCATGAAAATCTTGCTGGGACACTCAATGTTACTTCATTACACATTAACTTTATAGGTACTTACCTGGATATTTGTGTGGATCTGAGTTAATTTGACGCTTTCTCTACATTTGCCATCAACCAGGTCCCATGTACACATTTCACCAGCTTCAGATGAGCTAACTATGTAGTTATTATCCTAAAATTAGATATTTAAATCAGTAATTTCTTTATTCCGCTAACATATAAATCAAGCAATGTATGAAACAGATTTTGATATACTTTCAATGAGACATACCTGAATTATTGAAGCCCTGGATAAACAAGTAACAGGTGCAGTATGTCCCACAAGAAGACATCGGGGAGTCATTTTCAACGTATCAGGATTTACTTGCCAAATACATATCTGACCATCGTAACATCCAGTAACTAGAGTTTTTTGATCTCTAGATAAGTACACCGAAGACACGCAATGCGATGGGGCATTTTTACCCCATAAAACAACGGGCACAATGAGATTCGTCCCGGGCATTCTCAGCTGAAAATAGGTAAGGCTTAATAGTGTTGTGTTCGACATTCTTTGTACTGAATTACCAGTTACTCTTTCTTATTTATGTAACAATATCAGTATTATAAAAAAGAGAATTAAATTAAACAGGATATAAGGACAATAATTTGATACAAACCTATTTATAGAACGTTTTGCCTTTGGAGGAACCTTTACGAAATTTAAAACTTAAGGATGTTGGCATATATCCATTCGGACACTAGATTTGTTAAAACTAAGTCTGGAAAAATAAATTTTATTATACACTACGCTATTGATAACAAATTAATCAATGAACAGATGACAGTGATCAGTGACACTTTTACATAATGTTGCTAGTACAGGAAAGTAAAAGTTACCATTTGTAAGGAAAATTACTAATGCCGTAACAAGTTTCCGTAGGTTTTGCCGCAACATGGTTTGGTGGTTTATTTTCCTGTGAAAACTATATCATACCATTGCTACATTCTCTTTAGAGATCTACGTTTCTGTGCATGAACATTTTTGGTTTCGTTGGAATTGATTTTTCGTAATTGTTTTATAATTATATTTAATACCTTAAGATAGCACACTTCGGATTGATACTTTTCTAGAAATAGTAGTAAAATTACGATGAGAAAGAACTTCGATGTCTTATCTAACGCAGACCAATTTATGAAGGTTCTATACTCTTGTTTTACAAAAGAAAAAAACCTGCGAAATTTCCAAATACAAATTGACATTTATACGTATCACGGAATGTTGTTTATGTTATTTATTCCTTAAATACAATGACTTCGGTTAAAAAGCATAATTTAAAAGATGATAAACTCGCAGATTTGGCAGAGAAAATAGACGTAACTGATGAAATGAAGTTAAAAATGTTAGCAGCTCTGGACCATCCTGAGCCTGATGACATCTTATATCCACCCGAACTGAATGCTCATTTAATCGAGCAGTTGAAGGTACTCAAAATATAACTAAAATCAGGAATATTTATTTTTAATTATTTTACTAACATAGTATAGTAATCGCTATATAAGTTGAATGATTACCCTAAGGCGTATGCTCATCGTTTATGTGTCCATCTTGAGGACAAAATTTCATTACTTCAGTTGCAATAGAAGCTTGTCTTAAAATGCTTCTTTGTGTATATGTCCCCATGAAAGTCTATAAGACGAAATGTTATTAACAATGTCATAAACATTACAATTTTAGTTGTGTTTTTTTTAATTTTAGGTAATGACATGTGAAAATAACGAGTTGCGAAAGTTAGTCTTCACAAGAGACGAAGAAGTTAAAGAACTTAATAAAACAGTAACCGATCTAAATCAGCGAATACGTGATATCATTTCTGGCACTGGGCCTGCCATATCTTCGAAATCTGCAGGTATAATAAGTGCCAAAATAACTGATTTATGCAAACAAAACAGACATTTGATTGCTGAATTAGAAGGTTATAAAACTAAAAATGGTGCGTTAGAAAGAAAAATAATGCAACTAGATTTGATAAACAAAGAAAACGAGAAATTAGATATTTGTGTATGTAAAGACGATACAACTGATGCAAACTTCGATGAGCTACAAGAACTAAACAATAAGCTTGCAGTTGTTAACAAAAAACTTTTTGATAGTAAAAACAAAAATTTAGAACTTAAAAATGACATATTAATCGCAACAAAAATCCTGCAACAAGAACTCGGCGATAAATTTATAAGTATTAAAGAATTACAGCGCGATTTAGCAGGTTGGAAGGGTAGAGCTCAGCAAATAGTGTGTTTGCAAGCAAGAATTAATGATTTGGAGGAAAAGTTAAACGGTAAACATAAAGATTTGATTGAAGCCAAAAAAAAGGATCAGAGTCAGGTTAGCAATTAATAATTTTTACAGGTAATACAACATTCCACCTGGCTGTTTTAAATCTAGAATTTCATGATTTCAGATAATAAGGGAGTTAGAGATGAAAAGAAAAAAGGAAGTAGACATGGCAATGAAAGATTTGCAATCGCTAAAAGAAGAAAATCAGGACTTGAAAAAAAAATTAGATGGCGCTAAATGTAGAATAAAAAATTTAGAATGTGACTCGCTATCATTGAGACAAAAAATGCAAACATTTGTTGAAAAAAGTAATCACGATGATTTGTTAATAAATGAACAAAGAGTAAGTATTTTTATTAAGCCTGCAGCCGCGTTACATCTTGTTTGCGCTATGGTATTTGTGTGATTTCCGGAATATATTATTACACATACACGTGTGAATGGAGACTAATGTTTCTTTAAATGTTTTTATTTTAGCGTTGCAAAAAGGTCGAAGTGCACATTTATCCTAAACGACAAAATATGTATAAAGATGTGATTTTCTTTTTCAGAATCAAATTAAAACTCTAGAATTGTATTACCAAGAACTTTTGAAAGAGAATACCAACAAAATAAATAAGATGAATTATGATATGGAGGAATCTAATAAACTGATGAAAAATTCAGAAGAAAAAATTGGAGCATTACAAAAGCAAGCTGTAGAGAAATCAATAAAAATTGAAGAACTAAGAGGCCAGCTTGCTAAATACGAAGAATGTTCCTTGCAAAATATATTTTATACTCCTATGAAGTTGGCCTCGGATAATGAAATTAAAAAACTCTCTGAACTTGTAAACACGTTAAACGAGCGTTTAGATTTCGAAAGACGTAAATGGGATGAGTTGGAATCTGCTCACAGGAAGCTGAAAGAAAAAAAGAAAAGGTTAGAAAAAAAAGTTGTTAATCTAGAAGATGAAATAAAAATTATCAGGGACTCTAGAAGGCCATCAAGAAGTTCCAAATCGTCAGTTATTAAAGAGCAACAAATTGATGCAAAACAACTTTCGGTCGGAAAGAAGCAATCATCAATTGCTACAATTGCTGAAAAACCCAGTTCAAGTCCGTCAATTGAAACCGAGGATGCTGTTACCTATGAAAGCTTGGATAAAGAGGAAATTAAATTTAAATTGGAGCTAACTGAAGAAAAATTAAAAATGTTAGAAGACAAACTTAAGATGATAGAAGATGAAAAGAAAGATGATATAATGCATTTGACAGAAATGATACAAAACTCAAAGCAATTGTTCAACGAAGCTTTAGCGGTATTACAAAAGGAGAAGTGTGTTTGTTCCTAAACATGCACAAAACATACTTTATTCTTTATTCTTTTAAACCTTTTTTTATAAGGGAATGATCAGGCGCAAGTGGCCTCTGTGCCGATTGCTGGTATTTATGTTGCGTCGCCGGACTTCGCTTGTATTATGAGTAGTCGCGGTTAGTTAGTAATGCCTAATAGTCTCCTTCAAAGTCGTATTTTATACAAATTTAAAATTTTAATGTAATGTAATTATTATCACCTAGTAAAATCTTGAATGTTGTCAGCACTCCTTTTTAATTTGTACCACTTGACTTCTTGTCTTTGAGGAGGCAACATTGCTCGCCGCCATTTGTCATTTTTTGGCATGCGCGTTGGGGGATGCTACGAAAATCGTGCTCGGGAGTGTTTTCATAAAATAAAAGTTTTGTGAACTTTGTTAGTGTATTGTGATAAACTTTTATTGCTCTGTGAAATATTTGTGAAATTCTCATAAAGTGTTTTGTGTGTTTATTATTTCAAGATGAATAAAACTTGTGCAAGGTGCGAGAAAACAGTATATCCTACAGAGGAGCTAAAATGTTTGGATAAGGCAAGTAATCTTCTACATTTTCTGAATATGTGAATATTTTTTTAGTGTAATAATTCAAAACGACATAAAAGTTTACTCTTAAACTCTTTTTATATTCAAATCTTTTTCAAAAGATACCGGTATAATATTTAAAACGGGCATATGGGTGACTCATTATTTATATTGTAATTTATGTTGTTTCTAAGTCCCGCGTTTAATATTTTGTCCGTGGACATTTCATATTTGATGATCCTTACAATATTATTGAATGATTCGAGGAATGTGATAAATTAATTTGAATTATGTTGACAAAGTATGAAAAAAATTGGGTTTTGTTTAATTTTGCAATACCTTACCTTATCTAACCTTAGTTTGATAACGAATTACCTGATAGTGTTATCATGTGATAAGGTGTAATTTGAATTAAAAAGAATCACATTCAGTTTTAGCCTAGAGCTCTAGTAATGGTTATAGAACTAATACACATAACACATATCTAATAAAGAAAAGTACAAATTGATTGTATCAGAGAAAATTTAACTAAAAAAATTTCTTCATCATGTGTCTAATATATTTAGCACTAACTAGTTTTGCTAGCCAGTATGTTAATTTGTCTTAAATAATCATATAAGTTGTCTTATTTTTAAAACTTGTTTAATCATTTGATTATTTACTATTTAATAAATGAGCATTACCTGATAGTAAACAATAAAATTACTGAATATGTCCATGGCATGTGAGATTATATGGAATTAACAAACTGTTGCATATTAGAATATTTTAACCTGTTTATCTTTTCAGACTTGGTAGAATTTAGTTGATATCATGAACTTGATTATAAATAAATCTTATAATATGAAAATGAATCGCAAAATGTGTCAGTACTCACATAACTCAACAACGCCCTGACCAATTAGCCTTTTTTAAAATGTTTGTTGAAGTTCAAAGATTGTTTTTACGACGACAAAAAATCGAAAAATTGCCGGGAACTTTTTTTTTCATATCGCAGACAGAGTCGCTGGCGACAGCTAGTATGTATAAATTTATATATTGGTGGTTTAAACCGAGTTTGGTAAACCCAAAACCAAGGTTATACCTTGCTAGACGTTGATTATGTTTTTTAATTTGTTAATTATATGTCTCCATTGTGAAAACACTTGTATTAAAACATATTAGAGAAAGAGAAGGGCAACAATATGATTTCTTTCTGCAGTGGAAACTCACACTACAATCAAACCAACTTGAAATATTGAATTTTTTTTTTTTAATAAGAAAATACGCCTGCAAACAAAGCAATTTTCTATGTAAGTAACCTTTGGCCTAAATCTTCGTAATTACGATTCCAATTGGTTTGACGTTTAATATCATCTCTATAAGGATGAATTTCTTAACCAGTGTTACTAGATTCAAAAACATTATTACTACATTTTGGTAAATATCGAATTTTCAAACAATTTATGGTTTTTTATATTTAATTATTAGTTATTAGTAGATCTGCTCAGTTGAGGTCAGATTGATCATGCAACAGTTTACCTTGCTGTTGAATACATCACTGCAAGTCTATTGCTACTTTAATTTACATTTATTAAGTATGGTTAAGTTAATAAATAATTTCTCAAATCATTTATATCCAAACACAGTACAATGACAATAGAAATACTTTTTTCATTAGGTTTTAAATATTATATGCAATCCAATGCAATAAAAAGGTAGAACTGGGGAAGAACTTTTCCCTACAAAAGGATCAAACCATGTGAGCGCATTTCAGTACATATTTTTATATGTAATAACTAAAAAATTTGCATTTTCGGTCACATACCGTTTTACTAAATGGGATCAATTATTTTTTTGTAAAAGTTATTTTATATTTGCAATTATGTAAAATAATTATTTTTCCATGCGTAAAAACCCAAATTGTTGACTTCTTTACGAGAAGTAAAACGAAAAAATTTGATTCCGGCCAGGATCGAACTGGCGGCCTTCTGCGTGTAAAGCAGATGTGATAACCACTACACCACGGAACCGGTTACCTGTTTTGCTTAAAATAAAATCTAGTTTAAACGTAACATTATAAATGAATCAGTGTTTTTTAAACGAAGTCGCTACGTCACGAATTCCATATTACAAATGTGAATTTATTTTAGCATATTAAACTGTGTGATCCCCGAACACTGGCACATACTACGTAAAAATTCACTCTGAGTAATGGAGGTAAAAATGTGTTTTTGAACACGTGTTAAACTAGCGGTTGCCCGCGACTCTGTACGCGCGAAATTGAAAATATATGTAATTAAACATAATTAGTAGTCTATGTGTTCTTCCAGACTATGTTCTATATGTTTGCCAAATATCCATCCATCTAAACACTCGAATTTATAATATTAGTATGATTCAAGGAAAGAAGTCTACATCTACGAACGGTGATGTGGTCGAATCAATTCTTTAGGTGGTCTTTAAATTATCTATCTCTGATCACCTCATTAAGGTAATAAGGTCGTGCGAACCATTGTTTTTGTTCAAAGTAAAGCCTTGATCGCGTGCCCATCGCGCTGTTTTTTGCACGCTCGTTTGTCTGGGAAATTGTGGTCGCAATTTAATTTATCGCTAGCTAAGACGCCTGAGTGTTTGTGCTAATTCCACACCTCGATGTGTGTTCATGGAAAAGTAATTATATAGAATTTCTTGTTTCCTACGTTGTAGTATTTTTTTTTTAATTTTCATTCTCTTTTATGTTAAAAGTAGTATGTGATTTTTGGTGTACTTTACGTCCTAGACAATTTTTTATTCAAATTTAGTCGATGACTATACGATGGCGCTTGTCAAAAATATACGTGCTAAACTAAACCTACTAAACTGATCTACATTTTATTTTATATGAAGATTATAGACAAGCTTAGTTTACTGAACTTTGGTATATTTTGATAAAACATTATGTATACTTAACACATTCAGTGCCATTGACTCATAATTACCTTTAGGTTTAAAATTTCATCATAATGTAAATAATACGGATAGTAAATTACGTCAGCATTATCATAAGCAGTATCTTACTGTCAGGGTCAAGTTTGGAAAGTAAACAAGGACATTATGCATTTATTAGCGTGAGTTTCCACTGTCGTGACATCATAAGATATATTCATATATCTATTTTGTCTTAGAAAGATGAAAATATGTTTTTCTGCATGTTTTTGGGCAGTGAAAACTTATAGTAACGTAAACATGATTTTGTTAATAAAAGTAATTATCAGTATATTTGCAATAAACTATCAAAATAAATAATTATTTTCAATGAAAGTGGAACGATTTGTATGAATCTTGTTTTGCGAACGGTACTAAGTTAGCGATGGAAAATTAATTTTCTGATGGTAATGAAACTGTTCTACTTTGACTTCCTAACTGTGAGAATATGGACGAAGTTTTGATAACTTTTTAGCCGACTTAAAAAAACAGTTTATTGGAATAATTATTATGCGTAGATGCTCAATGAGTGAAGCCTTTTTTATTTGATCTAGGGAATGCAGAAGGGTATCTACTACACAATTATAAGTCACTAGCTATCGCTTTCGATTCCGTCCGCGCGGAATTAAAAAAAAAATTAATTCGTAGCCTATGTGTTCTTCCAGACTATGTTCTATATCCATGCCAAGTTTCATCTAGATCCGTTCAGCTGTTCTGGAATTACCTTCAAACAAACTATCCATCTAAACATTTATAATATTAATAAGATAAATATTTTATGACTACTAATAATAAATGGATAAAAATTTCCAATCGTAACTTATAAGCCGAAATGTTTTTGATAACATTTGGCTTTGCAAGAATGTATATAAATAACTACCGGAAAGACTAAACAATAGTGTTTTTATAACAGTTTAAATGGAAGTTGACTAAACTGTACGATTTCTCGCAAGAATTACTGTTAAATTACAGATATCCCGTTTCGGCGTAATTCCTAACAGACTTTCTAAAAAAAATATACGACCATTATTTTATTGGTATTATATATTCTTCGCATACTTCATTACTGAAGGTCGTGTTCGTCTTGATATGCATTTACCCCGTATTTTATTTGTATATTTATTTACTACTATCTGTCACCCGCGATTTCGTCTGCGTGAAGTTAAATAAACAATTTGTAGTCTATGTGATCTTCCAGACAATGTTGTATATCTCGTATCTCGATGAAATTTGGCATAGATGCAGAACACAGACTGGAAGAACACATAGACTATTTCTTTCGTTTTTTTCCCCGCGTGAACGATTGTGTGGGAAACAGTTATTTATAAACCTAAAATTATAATCTTACAAGCATTTAAATGTTACCAAATGTTTTGTGTCATATAAGTTTTGTAAAACAGAAAACCGTTACAATGCATTGAGGCGGTGCGTAGCGGCATTCAATATTTCATAGACCAGATCAGTGGTTCTCAATCTTTTTCGGATGATAAATATGTGCATTATCACTGTAGTCTTAAACCGTGGGTACCAAGACATGTACCTTATTTCTTCTGGTGGATCCGCTTTTCATTACAGCTACAGTTACTAGTTAATTCAATCGCGAACACTTCAATTGAAACATAATTTCTTGATGACCAACGACACTTTGTTGCTCACACTTTGGGAATCTCTGGATTAGATATTTCCTCATTCGTCAGACTGAGAATGGGGCCGATGATGCTATGCTTGCGATGCCATTGTTTGCCACACGAAGGTCACTCGAACGGAGTCAATTTTAATTGGACCTATTCATAACAGCTGTTTGCGTTGTTCGATGGCACAGAACCGGACAATTATGGTACATTTTGATTGTAAGAAAGAGAAAGAAATATACCATATTAATGTATAATTAAACAAGTGGTCGTGTGGTTTATTAACTATTTATTGAATAGTTATTTAGATAATAAAAATAGCGCGCGTTCTGGTAGCACACATATCCAACGAATCTCCAATGAACAATTGTTGCCAGCACAGGAAAAAAGTTTATAATAATTTAAATGTTGCCAACACAAAAAGAAATTATA